GTAAAATGTAGAATATAACACTGCCGGTGAATTGATTTGTGGTCTCTGGGGCAAAATGATTTAATGAAGGATGTCAGAGCCTACTGCTCTGTCTAGACAGTGAAATGGCATTTGATTCTACAACCATACCTCCATCAATCAAGTTGCCGAAGTGCTTTCCGACCGAGGAGTTAAGAAGGATTGGAATACACTGAAGCCTTGCTGATACCTTCAGACCGCTGTTTACTGGCCCCAATGTCAAAAGATCCTTATCTGCACTGAAATCTGATCGAACTTATGCAACTCAGTCCGAGCTAAGTTAAGTTAAGCGCTGCACAAAGCTTGAAGATAAATGAAACTTGATAAGTAAACTGTGCGAAGGACTTTTGGATAGAATGTAATCAAACTTTTGGATTTTGTGGCTACTATACTAACACCAAAGGGATGTTTTCTGATCTTCTATCTGAGATTGTGAGTTCGCGCCATGAGAATTTCCGTGATAAGTGAGTGGAAAGCAAGGATAAACGATGCACGTTAGATTGCTGACGTAGATCGCGCAGACGCAACTCAGACAAGGCGAGCGCCAAGTCTTCAATGACAGAAGTGCGAGCGAGCTCGCTTTCATTGAGTATTAGACCAATCCCAATGGAATTTTGGGTCTCAATCAGCGACCTAGGGTCATCCGAGCAAGGCCACTGTTTCACTCTCGAACAGCCAAGCTGCATTATTCACAAGAGTACTAAAAGTCTTACTAATGATCAAATGTTGACTGGGCATGGCAGATTTTCCGAATACTCGGAAGCGAACTATTAGATCTTCGTTGCTAATGAGTTTGCGTTTTGACACGATATCCTAAGACTCTGCGTGCTCGCCGTCCCGATCAACACTCTGACGTCAAGTGGGGGAAATGAGAAGCTCGTCTTCGCTTTTTTGTGTTTGAAAGTATATTTCACGCTTCCAGATTCGGGGTTTCGGACTGGTTGTTTGAGCTTAAGACCGGCTGCTGAAATGGACCTCTCACTGAACTTCAGATCTCCTTAGCTGATGCAGACTGGAGAGCTCTGGGTGTTGTACGAGGATACCTCTCTTCTAGCGGCTCTATCATACAAAGGCCCGGATTGGAGTAATTTTGGTGGAGCCGGTCTGCGTTGCTCTCCTCAGGGCTAGAATTACCATCGAATGGTGCAACACGTTCCCACCTCGATATGAAGTCAAATGATGGCGATAAACAGTAGGAAGTGTTGGTCAATAGGCAGGTTTCTCACTACAGAGCTTATTTTAGAGGACATGTTCCTAAACTTCCTACCTGTAGGCAAGATCGGCTGAGGAATCGAGTTGGAAATATCCTGCGAGCCTGCTGGTTCAATGTGAAGACTCTGAAGAGCATCCGATGGTCAGCGAGTTTGCAACAGCGAGAGTAGAATACTAAGAGATTAGAAATGGACTCAAAGACCAGTTCACTTTCTCTCAGATCCTAGTCTGTCAGCCCTTGGCACCTGAATGGTTGCGTGGTGTAAAATCGACTCTTATCGCGGAATGTCACGTACTAAGTCCGAAATACGATTAAGGAGAATGCGGAAAATACGGCAATGTCAAGGATCTCCCGTACCGCTCGGTATGGGGTTCTAGACGACCTTTAAGCTTTTTCTAAGCTCGAACAACAAGATGTGGTCCAGCTAGGCGTCCTCGGAGAATTGGTGTGGGTGCACAGCCTAGCTAGCCCCTATCACATTTCACGCTTTTCTTTTCCTATTTCCCCCCTCCATGCCCGTTACCGAAACCGAGCACAGAGACACGACAGCTCCAAGGATCTCCCCCAATCATCGGTCTCAACTTGCCGAAAAGGACTATGCTCACTTTCATCCCCTCATTCGCCATCGTAACTTCGTAAGGATGGCAGAGGTCAGTGAGGAGAACTGACGGCCGATTGACAGGGCTTCTTTGAGACGAACTTGGCTCTTACTCATCCACGCGGCTGGGAATTCTGCTCTGCGCTGAGTTTCAGCTTCTGAATTTCTCCATATGTATCACTTTGCGAATGTTCAAGATCATCGATGATGCAAAGCACAACCTTCACCTCTAGTGTGTTAGTTCTCACTCTTGACTAACAACCCTCCATAGCCATTGTTGTCGAGTACCGCAAGCACAAACGTGCAGAATACCTTTCCCGAGAATTTTGGCGCGTTTTTAGCTCACCCGTTGATCAGCAGAGCCGTCACTGGACGCCAATCTAGACTCAAGTTGTTCCTCGAAACGAGGCCTCTGGTAGCTTGTGGGCCTGCCACCAGACCCCGGCCTTCGGTCTCGCTTTCAAGGCTCACTGGCCACCTGCACTGCCTGGCCCACCGAGGAAGATCATTCTGACTTGTGCGACTTCCAGTCCGTCTTTGATAATGGCATGCAGCCAAGTTTTTCCTTTTCCACGTCCTCACTTGTCAGAAACACAGCACACGAAAGCTGACGGGGCATATGTAATTCGTTTTACTCGCTTTCATGAATTTCGGAAACGTCTAACGAGACAGCGGATGGATCTACCAACCCGAACCCGACGTATTCCACCTTTTCTCTTACTGAACTACTAGGTCCTTTAGTGTTTATATACAACTACACGACCGCCTCTTCTCAACTGTGCTGGAAGAGTCCGACTCTGTTTTGTTGCCAACAACACTCACCAACTCCCATCTCTTGGCCCCCAACATACCAGAGCAAGAGAGATCAAACATCAGCATGAAGTCACCAGTCACCGAGTCACCGCCTCCAGAGGCAGAGAAACTTTCCATCACCGAGACAAGTTCAAGCGCTGCTTCACCGAACCTACGTGGAGACGACGAAGAAGCTACAATCGCCGAGCCAAATGCGAATAGCGTCAACACAGTCGTCGATGATGCTGCCGAGCCTGAAAACGAGTTCTCTGTATGGTGGGCGGACGACCAAGATCCAGAGAATCCCATGAATTGGTCAAAAAGTCGCAAACTGGGCATCATCGCGACACTGTCCTTCATCACCTTCCTCACGTACGAAGAGCTTTCCGAAGAATGATCCTTCTCTTTTGTATGATTACTAACCCTATTTTAGACCCCTGGCGTCGTCGATGTTTGCGCCTGGCATCCCGCAAGTCATGGCTGAATTTGGCGAATCCGACGATTCGATCGCGACATTCGTTGTCTCCGTCTTTGTCCTCGGCTTTGCCCTGGGTCCTCTCATTATCTCGCCGCTCAGCGAATTGTACGGCCGCGTCTACATATACCACGTCTGCAACGCCCTTTTCGTCGTTTTCTCCGCTGCTTGTGGACTTGCGACCAACATCGACATGCTCATCGCCTTTCGCTTCCTGGCTGGCTTTTCTGGTGTCGCCGTGATTACTTGTGGCGCTGGATCGATTGCGGATATGATGCCCGTTGAGAAGAGAGGCTTCTACATCAGTATCTGGAGTCTTGGACCTCTTCTCGGCCCCGTCGTAGGACCTGTCTGTGCTGGCTTCCTTGTAGAGGCCAAGGGATGGAGATGGGTCTTCTGGATTATTACCATCACCGTGAGTGCCTCTTCTTGACTACTTCAACGCCACGAGTGTGCCAACTAACCTTCCACCTTAGTCCGGTGCGGTGACTTTAGCCTCCTTCTTTGTCCTTCGCGAGTCTTACGCACCCGTACTCTTGGAGAGAAAAGCCGCCCGCTTGCGCAAGGAGACCGGCAATGAGAAGTACCAATCAAGGATGAAGAAGAAGGGAACTCCACGCCAGATCTTTCTCACTGCCATCATCCGTCCTGGCCGCATGTTCTTCCGCTCGGCAGTCGTTATGATCTTGTGCCTTTACGTCGCGATGCTCTACGGCTTCCTGTACATCCTCTTCACCACCTTCACCTTTGTTTACCGCGACACCTATGGTTTTGGCTCCGTCGGAGCCGGCCTCTCTTTCATCGGAGGTGGTGTCGGAAACATTCTCGGACTCGCCTACGTCGGAAGCTTGTCGGATAAGATTATCCAGAGACGGCAAGCCGAGGGCAAGGACCCCAAGCCCGAGGACCGCCTGCATCTCATCCTCACGGTGCCCTCTTCACTCACGATCCCTATCGGTCTCATGATGTACGGCTGGACGGCGGACAAGCAGCTTCACTGGATCCTGCCGATGATTGGTACCGGTATCATGGGTTTCGGCTCAATTGGTATTCTTATGACGATCAACACTTACTTGGTCGACGCATTCACGCTCTATGCTGCTTCTGTCACTGCCGCAAACGCCGTTTTGAGGAGTCTGCTTGGCGCTCTGCTACCTCTCGGAGGCTTGCAGTTGTACAACAAATTGGGCCTTGGATGGGGAAACACCCTGCTAGGACTGCTGACACTCGCTGCTGCGCCAGTGCCATGGATATTGTATACTTTCGGGGAAAGGATTAGACGGAGCCCGAAGTTCCGTCAAGACTTTTAGACTACATAGACCATTGCATGTTAATTATTCACTCGCATAGAAAGCCTTGCTTAATACTTTATATCTTGTGCATTAAGAGAATTGTCACATATAGGGTCCTGCGTATTTCTCGTCTTGATAAGACATGGTACTGCATATATATGCGTCTTCGAATGTTCGTTCAACAGTGGTTTTCCAATAGATCGGTGCTGATGTCGCTAAACAGGTGGTGCCATTCCTGAACTGCCTTTGCTTGGTCTGATACAGCGGTTGACGTGAATGTGTTATTGTGGTGAAAAAACCCTCCTGCAAGTATGAGGACGATTGCAGGTTCCTTTGGATTCTGGCTGGTTTGCACGAAGGCGTAGGACCTTTTCATTTACAATTGGACCACCAATAAATCGAAAACGTACCTTAGACAGTGAGGCTATTCACTCAGTGGTACACCAAGGATTATCATGTGAAAAAGATGTTATGGTTCATGCCGCGGGAAGTGTAAAGTAGCATAGTGAAAGGGCTAGGTTACCAGTGTTGCCTGTGGCTGGTGAGTTCTTTCACGATCTACCAATCTCAATTGCATCCCGAATTAGATCTAGGTAACCCACCCTGAGACCACTACCCTTCATCGGGAACTTTAGGCGGGAACACAGGCATCGCAAAAGGATTGACGCTCGGCTTATAGGGATAGGTCCTCTCGACAGAATTGGCCTCCACCCATTTGGACATGGCGTAAAATCTGTAGTTGTCGGCTATCAACTGTAGGTAGATTGTTAGTTGCTGAGGTGCCAGCCATTATCGACCGAGGAAGATTGAACCTTACAGTTTTGTTGCGTATACTCGCCGGGTGTGAAGTGACGATCGTAATTGGCTAATCTCTTAGCATTGTCAATACCGTAGGCTTTGTTTTCTCCGCGACCGTCACTGTAGTCGACAAGGAGGTCTCTAACGACTGGTCCCGACCCCGAAGATGGTGTGTTCATGAAATAATCCATATGCGTCGCCTCGTGCAGCCAATACCCTCCCCTAGCGTGCTCCCAATTCGCCAAGTTCAGACGGTCTTCTGCAGTCTTCTCTGTGTTCATGTATCTTGTTAGATCGTCCAGATCCTTCCCCAGGGTGGTGTACTTCCTGCAGACAAGCGCCCGCGTATAGCGGTTCTCGTTCCATTTCCACGTTATCAAGGCAGCGGGACCTCCTTCAGAAGGATTTTCCTTGTCTCCGCAGTAGTTTTCGGGGTCCCCGGAACCATCGCCGAGGCTGCATGAGACCTCAATCTACAGGTACTGCCACGAGTCGATGTAGTTAGGAGGACCCCAGTCTGTCCACCAATGGGTCCACATCTGTGAGGTGTAGTAGAGGATGTTCTGGATCTGCCTCTTCTTGTCGTCAGACAGTGTCTTCTGGTCGCCTTGACCGAAGAACTCATTGATGCCCTGGCTGTTCCAGTCGATATTGCTCGACAGGCGGTCCATCAAACTGAGGCGGTTGAAGTCACGCCAGCCGTTTTTAATGTTGCTGAACGTCTCAGTATCGCACTGATAAAATCCAAAGAGACGAGTCTCGCGCAAGTTTTCAATAGCAATGTCGGACTCATCGTCATTCTTGAGAGGTGGGTATGGTGGGTTGCTGTCTTGAGCATACACAGGAGCATAATCCCAGAGGATGAGCGGATCATTGGTTGAGTATGATGGCAATCCAGGGTTACTGACGGCGCCATCATCGCCGCCGCTTCCGTCGCATTCGTTGAAGTTGGTGTATGCTGTATTCGTTGCAGGGTCGACTTCGATGAGATCAGCTCGTCCTAGCCCGCCAAAGTTCGCGAAGTGCTAAGGTCACAAGCGTCAGCAGGTTTCATCCCTGATGTACCCTTAGTTGTGTTGATCGAGAGTGCCAAAGCCTTACCAAACATTCTCCGCGGTCAACGCCGCTGTAAAGGACGCCGCGGTTTGTCCAAGAGAAAGAAGAACCTCCAGCGGCACCACCACTCTGGTAGCCATTGTTCTTAAAGACTGTGCTGGCTCCAGTGTATTTGTTCATCCAGATAATGTCAGCCCTCCCGGAGTTCTCCACGTCGGCAAAGCGTATATTAGCGCGATCCCATGATTCTGCAAATTTGATCTGGCCAGCATCGAAAATGCCACTCTGTCTATTGAGCCAGGCAGTCATGCGGCCACTTATCTCAATACAAATAGGATCGGCTCGCCCGTCGCCACTGTAAGAAGGTATGTTAGCGTCGACTCCAGTCTGCTGAGTGACGATACTGGGGAAGCACTCACTCAATGTCTGCCAAGCGCATGCCCCTATCAAATATACCCACTCCCCAGCCTTCTGTGCAGCCAGTGTTTGCGACCACGCCCCGATTGCTGAACGTGAGTGCCTTTGCGCCAGCATCGTAATTATTCTCATATAATGTCAGAGCCCCGGTAGCTTTATTTTGGACAAGCACATCGCATCTTCCGTTTCCGGTCCAATCAGCGAAGTGAATGCCCGTCCGGGGCCCAGGCACTGTCAGCGTGATCGAGGTATCATGACCCCAATTCGGTGGGGAATGGATGCTGGTGTTGATCTCATCCACTCGGCCGTCGTAGTAGATCCAAACGAGATCATCAGCGCCAGTACCGCGCATGTCGCAGTAAAAGTTGCCGTCACCTTTGCGTCTTGTGCCCCCCGATCCCTGGTTTTCGCAGACAATCATATCAAACCATTCTTCTTCCTCTTTCATGTAAATGTAATCAAGCCTACCGGATCCGTAGATGCGGCCAAACTTGATGTTGCCACGGACACCCGTCGCCGCTTGACCGGGATGCGTGACTCCGGCCTTTCGCCAGTCAGGGACAATACCCTTCCCCGATCCGCGCTGGTTGATGTACGTGTCCACGTTACCGTTGTCTCCAACGTACAGGAAGTCCGCTCGGTAGCTGGTGAGATTGTCTGCGTCAGCAACAAGGACACAGACAAGATATTAGACGTCGGTTGACTTACTCGCCATTCAGGTCGGCAAGTTCAACGCCCGACAACGGCCCACTCCTGGCGTTGAACACAGTTTCCCTGATACCACTTGCAGTCTGGAACCCTTGACAGAAATGCTCGTCTCCCTTTCCGCCATTTCGGGAACACTTGACATCATCATCGCTGACTAGGCAGAAGTCGACTCTCCCGTCGCCGTCAATGTCCGCCATGCGAACCTCTCTTTGCGTTCTGTCGCTGGGGCCGATGATCTGCAGGGCGCAATCCTTAGTAGCTGAGCGGATATGAGTCAAATGATGATGCGACTTGCCTGGCCGATAGATCGGAAGGCCGGTGGTGTGCCAGCCCTATTCAATGAAGCCCACACTGCAGCCCCGGGCTTGATGCAGAAGAAGTCATCCAGGCCATCGTTGTTGAAGTCTCCGAAGGCATAAGCTACACGAAAGAAGGATGTTAGCGAATGATTCTGACTAAGCCGACTCTTTTGACTCCTAGGCGCATACTAGTAGTCAAGTAACTTACTATCGTCTACGCCACAGTCGAGGTCCGTTTTAAACTCCACTGTTGGCCCAAATGAGCCCCCTGCTCCCAAGTTTCGACGATACATCCATGTAAACTCCTGACTTTCATCGATGGTCGCGTAGACAAGGTCATCGAGTGATGCACTACGTGGTGAGTTCGGGTCACCCTTGACGATGTTCGCAAAGAACATATAATCGGTGGGGGATCCTGGGGCAGATGTACTCGTGTACTTGATGATCTTTCCTGATTCGATAATTCCTCGCTCAACGCGATCGTGAACATAGTTCCCATCATCGTGTCCACTACCTCGTTGAGTTTGAACTCGTCGAGCAGTTCCGGGGATTTTCTGGCATTTGGTCGTTTTGGTGACCTCGGCATCATTGACCGTCTCGACGTTGGGTGGCGGCTTGATCTTCTTCGCGATTCGATTGATGGCAGCCACCCACACAGAAGCAAAGAGCCTATCCCATCGACTGCTACAAGGCGACAGTACATCCGAGTGCGGGGGAAGAACTAATCAAGCGTTATTCCGATTTATTTCCACTATATCCGCAAATCAAAAAATTCATATCTCGGAGAATTTGGAGAAAAGCTAGAGACCATTGTACTGTCGCCTTGTAGCAGTCGATGGGATAGCCCTCATCAGTCGGATGCGTTCCATCACCAATCTGATTGAGACTTATGGCATCGTGAATTTTGGCATAAGAAATTCTGTAGCCACGATACGTCGTGTAGACCAGGTTACGATATCCTTGGCTCACGGCTGCAGCGCAGGCCTTGATGCCATCGTCCTTTCCACTTTTGACCAGAGACGAGAGGATGACCGTTGTGTCCGGCAGTGTCTTGTATATCTCATCGATCATTGTCCTCATATTCTTGATTGTAGTCTCTGGGTCCTGGCGGTTCTCGCAGTCATTCCTGCCTGGGGTTCAGTATGGACGGATTTCTGTGACTCTAGAACAAGGACTCACGTTCCAGCGTTGACCAATACGAGATTGGGTTTCTGGTTGGACGAAAGGCAAAATTTCTCATTCACTTGGTGCACCCAGGCGCCCGGATGGCCTTCGTTGTCCTAGAGAGGCGTAATCAGCCATGAGATGTCCCTGCCTCAGAACGCTTTGCAGCTCACGTTATCAGCCATAGTGCCATCCTGCTTGGACCCAACCATGTTGACTTTCCAGCCCTCAAACCTTAGTTGTTCGCGCAACGCCTTACGATAGCCATTGTTGTCGCTCGAGAAGACGCCCCTGGTGATTGATGCACCGAGCGGAAGGATCCGCAAGTAGAAATCCTCAGCACGCTTCTTGAAAGTGTGGGTCCTATTGCCAGAAGATCCCTCGTTGTCCGGGTAGTTCGTCCACGTCTCATTGTCCGCCAGCATAAGAACGTCCGTGGCGTAGGAGCCATTTCCATACAGAGAGGGGCCGTCCGGCGGTGACCAAGAATCAGCCGCGACGAGACAGCTCAAAGAAGTAAGCCATAGGATTGGGTGTAATTGACGCATGCTTAAATCGCCTCACACAACTCACAGCCCAGTGGAAAAGAGGAAGGAGCCACTCGCGTCGGAGGGGTGAAGCATCTGTTGCTGAGGTTTGATGATAGCGGTGTCGTATCCCTCTTATACATGACGAGTTCACGATCAGGACTGGACTAGGTGTGAGGATAGTTACCGCATGAACATGGCTCTCGTTGGTCCTTCTCGTCCGTCCTTTGATGAACATGCGATTTCAGTAGATCCCACAGGATTCCGCAAACTTCGCTTATTTCTTGGGTTCTACAAATAGTGAGAGTTCTTCGGAGATTGATGCATAAATGGTAAAGCTTTGATAAAAGTCGGAACCGACCATCCTGTCTCGTATTAACATGACCTTCACCCGAGACTGTGATGGACTAGCGTTTATAATCCGCCCTTACATTCTCACGCACCGTCAGCAGAGCCAAGCCGTTACATTCTCATATACCGTAAGCAAGGAAGAAGTGTTGCATTCTCGTGTATGTAAGCATAGCCGAGGAAGTTTCTACTTACATTGGTTCCTTTAGTGATTTGCCCATCCCAGACCTGATAGTCTGACTCATCGTAGGTAGTCTATCACTTAGGGAGTCGGGGTCTTAGTTCCCCCAATAATTAAGTCAGAAATTCAGAAAGATCTTGTTGTGCAAAGCATCCTTTCGTAGAGTCCATTTTTTCTTTCTAAATGTCTTACACTCAGTCGTTACTTGTACCCAGAATATACCACAACAATTTTCCCGCAGTCATGAGTGATCTAACTCCGCTTTCTCCACGCACATCATAGCAAATATTCCACGCTCAATCTGATCTATTCAACTTCTCGCACCCTCTCCAGGCGGACAAGCAGCCGTGTTTGGCAAGACATTAGTAGCCCCTGTGCCGTCAAAGTAGCAGGTGCCCAGGTCATTTTGGCAAGGAGAGTCTGGGCTAGGGCAGCACCAGCCGTAAGATTTCCAATCGTAGTTCTACAATGGTAGTTGTCAGTAGATTGCCCATAGATCCGAACGCAGGAAAATAGGTGTATCCTGAATACGTCGTCTGAATAGCAAGAGAGAAGGTGCACTCACATAGCACGGAACCGGAGATGGCGCCGCACTAGTTGAAGCCGGCGCGGCAGACGTAGCGGTCTCAATGACCTCAATTGTGGTCTCAGGAGATGTTACCGTCACAACTTCCACGATAGATGACCCTGAAGATAACTCCACAGATGATGTGATTGGACCAACCGAGCTAGAAGAGGGGCTTGCTGGTATCGAGCTAGTTGGCGTTGGCGGACTAGAGCTAGAGCTAGGACTAGAGCTCGTCGTCGTGGTCGTTGAGTCCGCTCCTGCCCCGCCTCCACCTCCACCACCGCCACCAACAGGAGGAACCACGGGCACACCACCAACTACAGGAATAGCGATCGGAGCCACAGGGACATACGGATTTCCATCAGCATCTACAGTGGTATAGGTAGCTGTTGTGTAGCTCGTAGACCATGAGACGCCGGAGGATATGGTCAAGGAAAAGGTTTCGGACGAGACAGATGTTTGTGTAGATTCTCTCCTGCTCCAAGTACTTCTGGCACTCGATTCAGTGGGCCTTGAACCTGTACTAGATACCGAATTGGAAGATGTTCCTGAGGAAATAGTTCCCGAGGAAGTGGAAACCGGGGTACTAGATAAAGATGTACCAGAAGTGAGTGTTGAGGACGTAGGTGCGCTAGAACTGAGGCTGGAGCTAATGCTGGAGCTAAGCGTGGAGGAGCTCTGAGAGCTGCTAGCCTGAGAGCTCGAAGACGAAGACACACGGGAGCTACTACTACCAGAGGACGAGGCGGTGCTGGAACTAGACGACGTTGAGCTTCTGCTCGAAGACTTGCTAGAGCTAGAAGATCGCTTGCTTGAGCTCTTTGAACTCGAAGACGTTGAGGAGGATCTAGATGATGTTGTATTGCGATGTGTTGTTGTGGTGTTGGTGAAGAAATGAGTTGAAAATGTGCTCGGGCCCGTTGAGTTGAAAGACGGTGGGGGAGTAACGGTGGGATCCAGGGGACCTGTTTGACGCGGCATCAGGCCATTGTGCCGGTGGGCGGTATGTTTGTAGTGTTCGGCTCTCTCTACCAACTTATGAGCCGCTGCCGCCCCGTCATGGTGTTTAGCTTGCACAGAGAGTGCCGCGACGAGAGATGTCGAAAGAGTTAATATTTGCATTCTGCAAGAATACTAGCAACAAAAGAGCGACTATAAAAAATACGAACGAGAGTGAGAGTTGAGCATGCCAAGACATCACGAGTCACTGATCAAAGGGCCAAGTTCGCCCTTTTGTATTTTCATACTATGACCTTAGTACCTGCCATATCAAGAAGCTTAACGCAGGGCTGAGCTGACAATAGAGTGCTCAAATCCACTTAAACCCACAGAGGTGGCTCGGCAACAAGACACTTTTCTTGGACGGAGCGGCAATGGCAGCAGAGCCCCTGATTCACGGAGACTTCGGTTCGTGTTAGTCGCCGAGCGTGACCAGTCCGCTTTCCGCTTCCGCGGGCCGCCGAGAGCTATGGCCTAAACCCGATTAATAAACGCGGTAACATTGCGTCTAGAACTCATCCGGCCAAGCGCCGCAATGCTATGGGTGTCATGTGCTTGGCAGGAGGTAAGGCTGGTGCTCGAGTCAGTGACTTTGAAACTCCTTCTTAATATCGCCGTGTAAAGATAGTGCCACGACCCATTCGCCCCTGTCTGGCAGAGAGACTGCTCAGAGTGTGTGGGTCTATAGCTGTCATTTTATCAATCTGAATATTCAAGCGCCGTTGTGGCATGCGGCTAGAATCCGTACAGACAGTTATTTCACTGGCTCGGGCTTCTCACAGATGTCCGTCACGGCCTCTCTCAATAAACACGCGTCCATACATGCAAGCAGAACCTCATCGACGTGTAAACAAGAGCTGGCGTACAGAGAAACCGAGTGACTTACCGGAAAGTTGCCAGTTTTTATGTGGGGCTGATGATAATATTGCATACAAAACCTATCTATCTATTTTTGATCTCAATTGAACATCGCCAATTCGATCTAACTTTTGTCATCTAAATCTGGTTTGGCTTCAAAATACTAGAGTATGGATAACACATGCGATTCTACGCATACGTAAGTACTACGCAGACTTGAACGCAGTGGTTTATGGGCCCCAATTTTCCACGAACTTTCGTAGAACTTTCTCGATGGCTCTATACAGAATCTCTCTCTTGTTTTGAGTATCGTCGCAGTCCTCATTTGACAGATTCTCGTTATCCTCATCAACGAGGTTGTCAGAGACAATGTGGAGATACCCAAACTTGACGCCAACCTCTGAGGCTGCCTTTGCCATATGCCACGATTCGCAGTCAACCCAGGAACACGTTCTTTGCTGTTGTTGTAACCATTCTTTAGTCTCGCACAACGGTGATGGAACTGAAACGTGGGTTCCTTGCACCACCATATTCGAGAATTCTGCAGCCTCTTGTAGAGGGTTATTCCAAGATAGACTTGCACCCCCCAAAAACGATTCGTTTCCCGTGGCAACCCACTCATTAGCGGTAAATTCCTCAACCAACGACCCGACCTTGCCAATGTAGAAGACATATTGTGTGTTCGACACTTCTTGCAGTACGCGAATCAGGGAACCTGCCGCCTCGCCCCAGAGTCCCTCTCTGCATCCCAATAGGGTAATGCTTTTGCCTTGGGCAGATCGATAGGTGTACCAGTCAAAAAGGCCTTCTAGGTGTTGCGAGCCCCATCGAATATCGGGAACGAGTTGAGTAAGGTTGTGCACTTCGCCGAAGATCACAGCGTCAGTTGGCCCAAGCTGCTGAAGATTTGATTGCCGGAGAATTCTCTCGGCTTCCAACATTGCGGGCAAAATCAATTCGATTTCGACATCTCGCTTTTCGAATTGTAGGTATGTCGCTATTACACTGCAGTAATGTTGAATGAATACTGGGCAGGGAAAGCAATGAAGTTCTAACGTAGAATCATCGATAACTGTTGCTGTTGGTCGCTGGAAGTTGAACGGCTTGGGTTTCTTTTCAATCTCCCACAGAGATCTAGTCGCTGGGGGATCTCTTTGAAGTGAGCCAGTGACTCTAATCTTCTGCCAATTTGGTTGATTGATATCCTGATGAATCCTTTGGTAGACGTACTTTCGTAAGGATTCACCCATGGTGTGCTCTTCTGGGGTATGAGTGAAAATCTCCATTGCGTTTGCTGCCATGCAGACACATTGAAATGGCGATTGAGTCATTTTAACCATGAGACCACGAATGCCTTGAGCTGGGCATGCCAAGACAGCTTTTCATTGGCTACATTTTCTGGCGCCGCCCAAGACGGCTACATACATGACACTCCCACACCTTCCCTATGCTCAGCTTCACTATTCAGAATTCCTTGTCTGCCTTACTTCAAAGCCGCTGTCCAAAAGTGGATTATAGTAAGATTCTGACCAATTGTGATGAAAGATTTGCCGAGGGGTATGCAAGCTGCGGCCGACGGCCATGCACTGTGACACTCGTGTTGGCAGGCACATCAGGCAGGGGCAAGAAAGGTGCTTTGATCGGCAGCTTGGGGCCGCCTGATATTAGTGTCTGATGTTGGTTGTGAAAGTGTTCTGCCGTTGTTGTTAAGACCTCCAGCTGTCCCCATCCTTTCAATGCCAGATTCCAAAACCAACATCCTTTGTGTTATTTCCACTTCACCTCCTGCCCAGCCACTTTGCGTTTTCAGCCCACAACAGTAACTTGAGGACCACCGCATGCTGCGCCTTCGACTGCTGTGCGTCACTGCATTAGGACGTCAAAAACAATAGCAACATATTGTTCTTTTTACGTTTGTCTCGAGGTACTCGGCCATTCATCAATTGGATAGGGGTGGCGGTAAGCACAAACCTGGGTAAATCCCCAATTGAACAGCTATTCAAATCAATGGAAAAACAAAACTTTACCCTTGAGGGCTCCCAGGGCCAAGCGACACCACAGACATTGCCAATCCCAGGTTCCTTGAATGGGGACAGCATTCCTGTTGACGGATCCCAGCACGATGAGAACAAAGGCACTCTTCTTGGGGAGGCAAACTCTGCACAGAGCAGTACAAACACACCAGGTGATACAGTTACCGCCAGTACCACCATTTCAGGCGACGTTCCCACATCGACCACAAGCCATGATGCTATTGGCATCCCACGCACAAATAGCAGTCTTGGAGGTCCGGTTATAGATGCAAATGACCGTTCAGAGCTGCCTAATCAGTCGCAAAGAGCTTGTGCTGGCACCCCTGACGCAAGGCTGCCAGAACGCAAACAATTCCACACCATCACCATCGGGTTAGTCCATACATTCTGAATGATGAATAACCAGCGAATCTACAGCATGTTGGCTGACCCTACTTCTTTAGCCCCACCGATGAAAAAGGCAACCAGAAAATTGTCGAGAAATGGATAACGGAGGAAGAGCTTCCTAAGTTCAATGTGAGCATGCTTCTCTTAATTACTGTGAGGAATGTATTCTGACTTAAACTCTGTACATTAGGTTGGCGACAAAGTTGGCGCAACTGCCATGTGAAACACCCATGCCTTGACATGGAAACGGGATGCCGTTGACTAACATCCCTAGATTCATGCCGCGCATCACTGAAATCCTTAAGATGCCCGAGACATTTCGGACCGGGCTAGCTGCCAAATTTGCTATGGATCGCTTCTTTCTTACCAACACCGCATATGATTCCAATGGTTTCTTCCTTGAAAGAACTAAACAAGAGGAAGATAATGTCAAAGAGCCAAGTAAAGTTGATACAGTGATAATCTCGATGGACTCATTCTAACAAACCATCCACATAGTGACTGCATATGGCTGCAGGTTCCTGGTAAAAGAACTTTCCTTAGTTCCAGACACCGAGAAACTAGAAGACATCGTGGAGTTTGTGTATAAGATGATGTCAAAAGCCAATCTGCAGGTACCTGATCAGCCATCCAAGCAACCCAGAGCAGGCTCGGCCGACATCATCTCACTAGATGACGATTCAGTCGATACCTTGATTGGGAAGCTTCAAGACCAAGTTCACATGATTGCACCTGGTCTGCCGATTAGGGATGTTCCAAAGCAAAAGCCTGGGCCTGGCGCAATCACGCGGCAAAATCCTTCGGCCTTTAGGGATGACCTCGACAGATGGCTACGAAAGGAATTCAAGAGGGTGGTTGAAGAATACAAGAAACAGCAGCAAGACGATAAGAGCTCTCACACAAAGGATCTGTATCAGCTCATCGTCAACATTCTGCATCGTACCTACCATGACCTGGGTTGCATTTGCGAAGTTGAAAAGGGGGAACAGATCAAATCAGCCACCCCTCAGGCTCCAAAACAATATGAGGGTGATTCGGCAAGCTTCGAAGTTCAAGAGCAGCCCAATGGAATATTTAGAAGGACTCTTGGCTCAATTATAGACGGAAAACCACGGCCCGCTGATACTGAGAAGGGCCACCTGCCAGTCCAGACCAAAGCAGGCACACCCTCAAGCAACGAGAAACAGTCCTCGAGCAACGACAAAAGGCCCGCAAAACGTAATTATCACTGGCTTTTTCTCTCATTCTGGTCTGTTTTTCTCTACCCGGATAATGCGGCGAAGAGCAATGATGAGATGTCAAAACAGACCAGAGAGGTAATTCTTTGCTTCGACAATGCATCCGGAAGCCGGATGAAGACGAAGATGAAGGCGTTTCTTGGCGAGCAACACCCTCGAAGTTTGCTGCCTCAAGTAATTGAAGAGATTGTACACATGTACGATGACGCTCTCTGGGGATTTCGAACGCCGGTTCGTGATGTCGAAAAGGTAAAATCTCATGTTCATCCAGCATCATACCACTGCAATCGACTGATCAGACTCGGTGTCTTAGCTGCGGGGTCAGCATATGCCCAAGCGGAATGATGCAGAAGAAAAAGATGAAAGCGACCGTCGCCGGCAGAACTACTTCGACATGCATGAATTATCGCGACACCTCATCCACTCGCAGGAGACACTATCTGCCGCTGAAACCACACTCAAGGCCATTATAGGGAGTCAAGAGCCTCTTCTAGTCGAAAAGAGAGCGGGAGAAATATCCCGGTTTAGCGAGTTATTCATCAAGAACTTGAGGTTCCGAGCGGCTGCGTTTGTCGAAAGACTGAACAATGAGATATCATTGGTAAGCAGCCGCCACCGTAATTGCCAAGCTGTGTTCTACGACTTGACTGACCTGCGATGAAGGCACTGCACATCAACAATTTGAAGCAACTCGACAAGGTCGAAGAGCTTTTGACCGAGAACAAGATGGATGGGAAGGACGTGACTAAAGCAGTCGGATATGCCTCGGTGCTGTTCTTGCCGGGAACCTTCATCAGTGTAAGTTACGTTATCACTTTCTCCCTCTCACTTCGACGCCAAAGGTTTGCTCACGAATCGCAGGGCTTCTTCAGCATGCCATTTTTTGACTATGATGGCTCGGGCTGGCCAAATGCTAGTAAAGTCTGGATCTGGGTCGCCGTTGCGTTCCCGATGACCACCATAGCCTTTCTCTGGCTCTACTGGACTCGAACGAGGACTCAAAATTTGGCCAGGAAAAGGCTGGAGGCAGAAGTACCTAGATAAATTGATTTCATGTCATTTTAGGCCCACGTAGGATAGTATTCAATACCAACTTACGTCAGACTTTCAGCTATTCAGACACCGGAGTGATGTGGAGCCAAACTAATTGCTCGAAATGTTTGTTTGCTTAGCAAGAGCACCTGAGCAGAGGACGGACTGTGGAAAGGTCAAGTGATATCTTACTCAGAGTTATGGGACAAATTTATGTCGGGCAGTTATACTGCTTAATCCCAGATGGAATAGGGCAACAAACCTTTTCCACTCTGACATTTTTCGGTAAACGGTCATCCCGGGTACGGGCTTTCATTTACCTAGGTACACATTCGGTAGGTGAGTTGTACGCAGCATCCTCTGCTCAGCCCATGGTATCTCTCAGCCAGGCGTGATACAAAATGACCATATCGGTAACGATCAAACTATCTGGAATATGTGAGAAATTGTGAGAGCAAAGGAAAGCACAGCCAGCTTGGTGGCTTACGTGACTTCACTGCCCTTTCGCTATTATAAAGTCGCGTCTCAGTCGATGATACTGCAAAAGTGTTGACAGGTAAGATAGGTAAGTATCTATTCGAAGTAACTGTTTTACAACCCAAATAAACAAGTGTGGTTTCATTCCAATCATCATTTATGAATAATACACTGAACATTCATTTCTTAGTATTCTGCCCTGAGGATGACCCAACGGATAAGGTACCTTAGTTGTTGCCAGACTATAGGGCAGGCCCCTAGCTGGTTACGTATGTTAGGTTGTCTGGATAATGCTGATGGATTATTAAACAAGGCGTCTTAGTAATTAGGTACGAACGTAAAGTTTATTTAATGACTTTTGGGAGCTACTTTCTAATACTCGAGTCCTTCATCTGCTCCTCAATAAACGTCGTCGAGGCGGCACTCGCGGACCAAGGCCCGCTATCCAAGTCGCTACCGTTCCGCTCGATCGCCGCCTCCAAGCAATATGGGGATGACTTCCCCTCACTCGGCGCCGAGGACTCTATTTCAAGCGAATCCAGCCTGACGGGCTTCTGTGCCACATCCTTGGGCCAAGATTGGGCGCTTGCTTGGTGGGACCTCGAAGGGTGCGAGCCGATGTTGGCCATTGCGAAACCATGCCGTTGCTGGTGCTGGTGAGACTTGTCGCCGGCGGATGTGGCCCGACCGCTCCATGTCCGTGAAGAAATGAGAACCAGGGCTTTGACGAAGAGCGGCCGTAGGGCTGGGAGGCTACTGCACATCACGGCGGCGTTGAGCTCGGCGCAGGACCAGTCTATGACGCCAACGTAGTCCCCTTTAGATTTGGCACCAGTCAGCATGCTAGTCTGATGTTGATTTCATGGAAACTCCCGTGAATTACGTACACGTAGGATCGAACGTATGAGCAAAATAGACCAGTTGTTTGAGTCGGATCATGCTGGCAACACACGCACTGGTTCGCCGGCGCGTCAGCTTCCGTTTCTTTACAGGCGATATCATGGACGACGAATACTCACAAGGATCCCAGGGCGAACATGCCGAACAAAGCGACCTTCTTTTTCTTATCTAGCTGGAGTCTCATAAGCTCCGGAACGGGGAGAATGATAAGGACAATATCTTCAAGAATGCTGCAGGCCGCGCCGCCTGAGCTGATAGCGGAGAGGTTGAGACATTGACTCGGAATAGCCCGGTTCCAGATGGACTGGATCGGAGTACACTGGAAAATGACGAGAAGTAGAAACATGAGACTACGCGTGGTGAGGAAAATCAAGAAGATGTTGATCTTGAGGCGGAAGGTCTTCCCGGTGAAGACACGATAATAGAAGCAGGCAATGGAAATTTTGGCAAATCCTCTGCACAAGAAATCGATTAGTTACTGTCTCTCCCCTTGCTTGACAGCGAGCCTTTGACGTACTGCACGAAGATGTAGAGCATCTGCAAGACGTAAATGATCTGCAAACTGTTGTGAGCAAAAAGCAACCGCAAGTGTAAAGTAAGTTGCACAATCTCATACCTGCAGGATCGTCTTGCTATTTGCAGGGTCGATATTCCAATAGTGGTGTCCGAACCCCAAGTCTCCATCTAGATAATTATTCAAGTAAGTATGTATACCTCTCGTTGATACAGCATGGGGAAGGAGCAGTATGTACTTGCGTAGCCGAGACCGGATATTACTATCAAAATTGCCTGCAAGCACCTTATCAGACTAGTTGTTCTCTTCTATATTCCAAACCAAGATCAAAAACTTACCATAGCCATCAAAGCCGCACCGTCGTCCCACCATAACCGACTGGCGACCTGTATGCGGGCAACACATCGAAGTAGCACAACCACGAGAGTCATGGTTGGAAGGGCAACGGAGAAGAACTTGGCAGGTCGTGATTGCTCTTCAATGGGGTAGTCCTTGCACAACTCTTGGGAGACGTTGACGGTGGCTTCATGTGATCTAGTCAGCGATAACCGCGTGAGACAGAGCTTCAGCGTCTAATTCTGACATACCAATTTGGTCGTTGAAGTCGCATGACTGCTGTACACACTGAGAACTGCGGGCCTGCAACGGGATGTCGGTGCAGACGCAGTCTGTTATCTTGTCAATGGGGCAGTGGGCGGAGTGGTATCCATCGAGTAAGCATCCTATCTGTGATTTAACAGGAGGGTTAGAACATGTCTTCTTGCAGTGATACCTGGGTGAACTCACTGCGCAATGTGGGACTCTCGCCATGAGGGCTGTCAGAGAAGACGAGTTCAAGCCGGATGTGGACGCTGCCTGTGCCACTGTGGCCACGAGCAGCAGAATGCCGACCCTCATGATTCGTTTCATCTTCGTGATGAAGGATAGGCACTGAAGCGTTTCACCCGGCGTGGTGGATAATCGGAGACCGCCCCTCTCTCTTTCCCACTCTCTAGAAAATCGCAAAGCAAGGCCGGGCACGTCAACATCTTGTATCGGAGCCAGGGTCAGGGGTTTGAATTGGGAAAACACCAGACGAACGCGGGATGCCTTTGTCGAAGTCCCTAGGTTAGCGCCGTAGCGATCGAACCATGTACTCAGCACTAGTCACCGAGACACGAACGCCACAAGACGCCCGGCCGATGGGATGAGTGAACGAGCGTCTGAGCGATCTCAGTCTGGATGTGACAGGTCCCAAGAATCGACCCCTGATTAACACGGTCCATGTTAGGAGCATGGATGGATGATCTAGTCGGCTCGACAGCCAAGAGCTCTAAGTCCAAATGATCATTCAAGTATTTTAAGGATCAATCAAATAATTAGAGGAGCGTTACATAACCCAGACGAGCTTTCAGGTCGCCAGGCAAACCTTAGTATTCGTCACAAGGGACTTTTGATAGTATCTCAAGGAAAAGTCAAATTGCTTGATGGTGATGACGATGATGGTTATGATCATGGCGAAGATTTTACAGCCTGGTCCCGTGACGTGACAGCACTGCAAGCCACTCAGTTACGTTTGTCTCAGTTCGGTCAACCAGGCGACCAGTGGTGTTATCGGAACGCGTTTCCGAACCAAAGAAACTTGGGAATGTAGGTCGTTCTGGAAGGGGATGAACGAATTTCCCCTGGAGAAGGCTACATCTACACCTTGGATTTTGAGTTTTCCACCGTCAACGCGCCAGCCTATTTCTACGTCTTGTATACCTGATAGAGCGGCCCGTGCAAACTTTGGATAACTGGCAAAGACGACACTTCTACCCAATAAGAGGCTTCAGCCACAACTCTAAACTTCCCCCCGGTAGAGGTGCGCACGAGTCACATAGCGCACTCACCCACAGCCCGCACGGCACTTATAGCGCAGGCACGGCGATCAATTGCTAAGGTTGTAGTTGGTCAATGATGATTAAGGCAGTCTGTTCTTGGTTGTAATGAGTTCCAGGCGCAGATGTCTGTTCCCTGTGATAATTATGAACTGTTGCGATCGTGGTGGGCGACTGCGACCGTGGGTAGGAAAGTATGGCCGCGGGCAACTACGACTACAACTACCGTGAATAGCGCTGTCAAGTACGTGATCATAGTGTCGGAAGGGTTTGTATAGGGAAGTAGCCCTAGCTCAAAACTTCCGTGTACCTACCCGGGTTAGGGGGGGGTTTGAAAAGAGGTAGCCCATGGTGTGTACGTACCCCATAGTGCTAATTCAGAACACTATATTAGCAGAATAGTCTAACTATATATAATATATTATATAATACTATCTAGCATACGATTAAAGGGGTAATAATATACCTCTAGTTATAACGCCTATATAAGTTAAGTATAATACTTTAAATAGGGTAATAGCTTATATATTTTAATTAGTTTAATTACTTTAATAAGGTCTACGTAATAACTATAATAATTAACTAATATTCTAAGCTAGTAAGGTAAAAGGATATTAATAATAAGTAAAAAAGGCTTATCCGTACAACGGCTATTAATATAGGTAATAATTATTAAACTACTTAAGAGATATACTTCGAAATATAGACCTCTTTATTATAGTATTTAATACTTCTTATATTTATAATTAATATAAGTAGTTAAAAAATAGATATTCGAAGTAAATATATATATAAAAATTATTTATAATATGAGGTAATTGATATTATGTAGGCCTCTATTTTTTTATTACCCCGATATTAAGGTATATATAATAATAACTAAGGGAAATTTTCTGCGGGTTATTAAAAAATCCCCTACTTACTTACTTTATATAACAGTAAATACGCTATATATATAAAAAGTAAAATATAAGGCTTAACTAAGATACTAAATTATAGATATAATCTTTTTTATTTAATACTAAACTTCTATTATTAAATATTATTATTATTTTTTTTATTTTACCTAAACTAACGAGGGGCTGCGGCTCCTTTTTACCTAAGCGCGCGAGGTTATAGTTCTTTTTTAAACTATTATTACTATTACTAAGTACCCTCTTTAATATTAGGGTTAAATATATTAAGCTACTAAGTAATTTATTAATTAATAAAATACGTAAAGTATAAGGTACCTAAGTAAAAATTATATACTTACGTTCTAT